ATAATCAATTTTCCTTCCTCCTTGCAGCGCGCCCAGACATGCCCTTAATTAATCAAAAAAAATTACATTTTTATTAATAACAAATTAATTATTAAACAAAAATATTAAATATAAACTAAGCAAACGTGCATTGCACGTTGTTTGCACCTAGTTTTTAAATAAGCAACAAAAATAACAAATATAAAATTTCGACAAAATATTTCATCATCATTTCCAATCACGCTAACAAAATATTTGGATACAAGGGTGCCAATTAATTAAATGTTAACAATAAGAATGCAACGAAAAAATATTTATTGACATAAGCTAAAAATGAACAAATATTGAGAACCATCATTGCAATTAAATTGTAGTTCATTAAACAAAAACTGTCCTATGAATATAATTACCCTTTGATTTCAAATTTTACCATCCTTTCATTCCTTATTGATAAAAAAATAAAAAAAAAAAATCATACCGCAATGATCATCGACGTAACCGTTACGTTAATTGTCATGCCAACCTAAGATTACGCATCATCATAAAGCAGCTAAAATCAAAACACATGCATTTTTAAGTTTCAATCTAAAGACATAGGTATAACTCGTTTTATCATATTTGGTGCCACATGGTGATTACATGAAACGACTTCCAATTAAAAGCATTTTTGGCATGATTTTTTAAAGAAAAACTATATATATATATATTTTTTAAGAATACGTGGTTAAAAAACGAGGAAAATTGTGGTCCATATAATGTAAGGTTAAAAATGGTTATAGAAAAATCTATGACAATCAAGCTTAATTAATAAAATCCACATGTGAGAGAAAGAAATATAGTAAATTTTGAAACTTTTTGTGGGATTCTTCGGAAGTGGTTGTTGAGTGACATATATATATATATTTTTAATATTTTCGACTTTGATTCCATAATCAGTGACTATGGGACTAAAGGTAAGGGGCCTTAGGGTAATTGTATAATTACATTACTATTGTATAATGTAATTGTACTAACGGGACCTTAAGGGCATTTGAAAAGGAATTGAGGGGTCAAAGGGAGTAGCCTTTAAATTAATAATTTTCATTTAAATAATCAATCAAAAAATAAATAAATATTTTGAACCAATTCCCAATTATTTTGAATGACGAAATGACCTTGGTTGGTTCCATAAGAGTTAAAAGTTGAGGGATGCAATTTTGCTTAGGTTCCTATTCCTACAAATTGAAAGAGTAGAGCGAGTGAAACGGGGAGGATGAGAGTCTAAAGATCTGATTTGAGGTTGGAGAAATTTTGACCTGCCCAATCTCCAGCTGCCTTCGTATTTCTTGGCTTTTATGTTACATGCATCAAACTATTAATTAGCATAATCATTGATTAAAAAATTTCTGCCTGCCTGTTTATTCATTTCTTGTATTCTTTCTTCATCTAGTATATAATATTCCTTTATCAAAATTTAGATTTTGGCTTTGCTAGGCACAATTTTGTTCTTTTTCACTTTGCTTAACACGATCCAAAGCTAAGTTTGATTCACGATGTAATAAATTACAACCCATTGACACATTCTCCATCGGATCTGAACACTTTTTGCGGAGGTCAGGGAGCTTTAAGGTAATGCAATCAACTCTCTTCGCCAGTGAATTTTTTAATTTTCAATTCCAATTGCCTTTGATTGTAAATGAG